TCTAAACAAGGTTGGAATTAGTAAAACAGACGACGTTTGCATAACGTTGGAATAGGTCCTGAAACTGACGTCGGAAAACTCTATATTGTCCAACTTTGTAACTACGTTGTCCGAATCACCTAAAGATCACTTAAGCAAAAAAGGTTACAAGACAACGTTTATTCGACGTCGCAGAAGCTTCCTACTTTGATGTAGTACTAGTCCAACGTCGGCACAACGTTATAAAAACGTTTAAATTTATTTTAATACCCAAGGTAGGGAGCTAACTATTTTTTGTAACTAATCCAACGTTGTGTTTAGTAAACATGTGGTCGCAAGTCGTGAAAATGCTACTTGGGAAGGGTAACAAACATACTTAAGGCCACTTTCCATGCCTCTTCGCCGTTTTTTGCAGGGTATCTTCAGCTTTTACTTCCATGCGTCTTTATACTTCGACAAGTTAATCTGTCCCCTTTGGAAGTTTTTCTTAAGCGAATTCACGTCATCTTGAAAACATGAAAAATTAATAAACTAATAGGTAGGTCTGGCGATTCTATTACGCTGTACTCTCAGGGGTCGGGTGAAGCGGGTGTGTGGCCGAAGGAAATTATATTATATTTATCCTAACCCGATCCTGTCATGTTAAGTCACACCCAAAATTCCAAACACACGTGCTTTGATTAAGGCTTGATTAAGGTTTGCAGAGCTTCAGTATTTGCCATAAAATAGCGAGCAATTTGTGACAAAACCATATAAATTATATATCACTATAATCACAAAGCTTCAATCTATTTCCGTATTGTAACGGAATTTTAAATTATGTCTTTATTTTCGAGAAAATTTAGTCCAAAAATAACGAATATTTTGTTGATGTTTGACTGTTTGACCATTAAAATCTTAAAAATAAAGAGGTTGTCTAAAACTGTGCTACAATACGGATATAGTATAATCTTTTATCTTTAATTTCCTGCTTCATTTGTGTAAAAATACCTAGCCAGGTTTACATAAATCGTTAAATGCCGAACGCTTATATTGCTACTCTTTCAGAATAGTGAAATGGACTTTTAACTCAAAATACTTTATTTATTATATCCATACATCAACATATCTTGATGACTCTCCCTTTGACAAAATAATAGTTAGGTACATGAATTTTGTTTTTATTTTGTTTTGTTAAAACCAAAAAAAACACAATTAATAAGTATATTATTAATTGTTTCATCTATAATTTCTTTTTATTCATTTTATCTTGAAACATATATGGCATCGAAAAACTAACGTGCGCATTAACCTAAGCCAAATTTAACATACATGTTTGAGCATGTGTGTGTTTCGTCCCCCGCAATTTTCCATTCTTCCACATTCCGATATTTATACGCGCCACTTCGTTACAACGGGGATGAGATAATCTCTTACCAGCCTTTCCTACCACCTGAGCCTCAATATAAATTTAAATTTGATGCGCGTTGCTCGTGGAGAGTTTGAACGAAAATTATTCGTCATCGCTAATACTAACGGGTTGTTGGGAAGGTTAAAAAAAGGGATTGCGATAGAATATGGCCGTAACCAGTGGGACATACAGGATGTTTTAAAAAATGTGTGTCATCTCTTGTGGGATTCCTCATGTAAAAATAAAGATTTATTTTTTTATATCAACACTAGCATGTACCCGCGACTTCGTTCGCGTCGAATTAATCATTTGTAATGTTGATGATAAAGCAAAGCAAGAATTTCCATTAACATACAAACTGGATAAAATTTTCTCACATTTATGTCACCATGAGAAAAAACAATATGGCGATATTATTATATAACTTGGTAATATTTGAGGGGTAGTATCATCTTATTGGAATTTTACTTTAGAAAAATCCGTTCGCCAAAAATAAGCTTTTTAAGTCAAGCAGTTTAAGCAGAATCGTGGTTAATCAATTACCCAACTTTTTGGAACACCCTGTTTGATTTTTTTAAAAATTTCAAAATATGTAAAAAAACAAAATAAATTATGCGCGTCGAAGCGTTTTCCCGAAAGACTAACCGTTTTTTAAATAACAAATATTCACCCTCTTGGAATATTCACCCTCTTGGCGTTTTCACCCTCTTGGCGTTTTTACCCTCTTGGAATTTGAGATTCGAGAAATCCCTCCTTATCGAACCTCTACACCCCACAGTCAGTCCGTTTGCCAAAAATCAGCGTCAAGTAGTTTAAGCAGAATCGTGATTACTCGATGGTTATATTTTATGAAACACCCTGTGTATATTTTTAAAAAAATATTAAAATATGTAAAACAACAAAATAAAATATAAGCGTTTAAGAGTTTTTCCGAAAAACTCGCCGATTTTTAGATAAAAAATATTCTAATATTTGAGGGGTGGTGTTACCCCCTTAGTATTCGAGTTTCGAAAAATCCCTTCTTATCGAAACTCTACACCCTAAAGTCAATCCGTTTTCCAAAAATCAGCTTTTTACGTCAAGCGCTTTAAGCGGGATCGCGATTAATCAATGACCAGATTTTTGAAACACCCTGTATACATTTTTAAAAAATCTTAAAATATGTAAAAAAACAAAATGAAATATACGTGTTTAAGCGTTTTTCGGAAACCTGATCGTTTTTAAATAAAAAATATTGTAATATTTGAGGGGTGGTTTCACCCCCTTGGAACTGGAATTTCAAAAAATCCCTTCTTATCGAACCTCTTACCCCAGAATCAACCTGTATGCCAAAATTGAGCTTCTTACGTTGAGTGGTTTGAGCAGGATCGTGATTAATCAGTGAGTCACTTAAGGATTTTATGAATTAGTATAGATTGTCACTGAGAAATCTGATCTTGCATATTTAACTCAGTTAAATATGCATTAGTACCGTATGATCGAAAAGAGAGAGAGAACGGCGTCAAAGACCGCTGGGGAATGACAGTCGCTGATAATTTAAGCGAGGTCAATCTCTAAGCGTCATTTAAACTAACTCTAATTATTGTAGAATGATTAAAAAGGATAGAACGTTTCCAAAAACACAAATCTATTACCAAAAAAAATATATTTGTCGAATTTTAAACTACACCATTTAAAAATATTTTTTACTCATTCCCCAGCCGTCTTTGACGCCGTTTTTTTTTCGATCGTATGGTATATTAATTTAAATTTAAAGAAGTTCATTTTTAAATGTATATTTTCAAATTTTATTTGCAAAGCTAGTCTGTGGTGAAAGAAAGTGGATCCGTTAGAGAATAAACAAATAATATATTTTACCAAAAATTTAGTTAGTTATTAAAGTTCCTTCGCCATTTTGTCATTAAATTATTTATTTTCATACAAGAAATGTGCGTCAAAATTGGCAAATGTGCATTGACAATTTATTTCAGATTTTAGTATAACTAAGAAACTATTATTATTGCTTGAAAAACTACACTTGTCATGTACAGGGTGGGTCAAATTCGACGCTTTTAAATGGAAACACCATTTTCTATAGGAGATAGACGAAAACTAATATCCGTGTCTGGAGCTCAATTTTTATCAAAAACATGATGGTGAAAACCGCACATCAATATCTGTTATCGTTTCGGAGTTACGGGGTGTTTTTCAAAAATGTGCATTTTTAACAAATTGCTGTAACTTTTTTGCTATGGAAAATTTTGTATTTCTATAAAAACATTTCCAAAGCACCTTTTTACGTAGAATTTTATGGTTTAAGTATAATTTTTTTAAAATTAAGAATTTAAGAGTTATCAACAGAAAAATTGATTTTTTATTTGGGACACCCTCTATATTTTTAATTAACTGAAAATAATTTAAAATTACCTTTCCAAAAATATAGCACACTTGATATTTTGTTATTCGAAATACAGAATTTTTAAAAGTTTGCCACTTTTAACTAGTAGGCTTTGGACCCCTTATTGATGATATGCTCTTAATGGAACTCGAAAACATATTTTTCCACTGCTGAATGTCAATAGTCCATGGGTATATTGATAAATAAGTTCTAAATTACAAGAAAATGCATTTTCTACGGAAACTGAAAGAGATAGGTAAAAAATGGTATAATATAATTTGATAGACAATTAAATTGTGCATCTGATTCTCGTAAAATATACAGGGTGTTCCATTTAAATTAAACAAGTTATTGCCGTTTGAAGCTAATAATTATTTAAAATAAATTTTTAGACACTCTGTATAAGGTAGTATTATTTTTATTATTGCAACATAATAACTGATCAGTAAATAAACTTAAGTAGTAAGTAAATATTTAGTATTAAAAACTTTGATACCCTTGGAGAAATGAAGCCTTAAAATTTTTACTGCAATTTCACAAAATTGAAAATATTTCAAAAACGGTAAGGTTTAAGTATAATAAACCTTAATCAAATTTACCTTTATTTTAATCGTAGAAACTAAAAATGCAATAATATACAGGGTGTTCCATTTAAAAAAATACAACTTTGATATTTTTTATTTATTTGGGACACTCTGTATCTTGAAAAAATATTTTTAAATTGTAGCTCTAATAGTCCTTCAACGAACTCCAAACTTACAATTTGTAAAAATCTCATCGTTTAGCTACAATACTCCGTGTCGTATGTGGTGAACAACCCTGTATAAAACATATTTTTTTTTATTTAAAGTTGTCCCTATTGGTCCAACGATATGCTAAGCAGGAACAAAGTGAAAATTAAATGGATGTTCCTATTTCACAGAATGAAGGGTAAATAGGGACACCACAGTTTAAAAAAAAACGAAGTTTGAATTTTCTTAAAAAATATATTTTTGTGTGCTTACAGTGCAGACCCAGATAGGACTTTTCCAGTAAAAAAAAATCTAAAAAGTTATAATCCCTAGTAGTAGCGATATGTAAAAGCTCAAAAAGTGTCCCTATCCACCCCATATTACGGTATTTGTTTTCTGTTTTGATTCTGTAATTAGAGGAATGCTTGCATGTCTTTTTTTGCATGGTACCACTAAAGACAGTATAAATAAAAATGAAACATGTTTTATTAAAAATTGTTTATTAACATATCTACAACTTTCGCATGTACAAGCTGATGCGTAAATATAACAACATAACACACGAAACTCATATAAAATTCAATATGAATTTTACAGACTTCATGTAACACACCCACATACTTAAGAATACAATAATATCTGAGTATTTTTCAGACACTTCCTTTAACATAAGAATACAGCAGTCAGTGGTAAAATGTGGTACTATATTGATTATAGCAAGTTTATGCTCCTAGATCTTGTATGGCACGTTGGATCTAATAGTGATGAGGGATTTCCTTTCCTTTGGACACCCTGTAATGTTGAGGATGGACTGCGTGCCCTTCTCTTCTTACCTCTGCGTTGAAACCGTTTTCTTTGTCGGCTTCGTACTTGACGTACCTGATGGTACCGTCAGGTTCGTGGAGGGAGTACTCTCCCTTGACTTTGTCTCCGTAACGCTCTTCTTTTTGTTCGTGAACGTCGTGGTGTTTGGGGTCGTGGACTCCGTATTTGTACTCGTAGTGGGGGACAGTCTGAAATAAATGAAATGTTATTGAAATACTGATATTCAATTGACATTGTATTCAGTAGATATTGTATAGTACTGTTCTGTGCAAGCTGGTCTTGGTTTCTGGTCTTGGAAACAAAAAGACCAAAGCTAGTGTTTAATCTGCAAGACAAAGATCAAGCTCGCGATCTTAGAAGAATAAGAATAGAAAGTCTTAGAAGATAGCTGCTATATAAGAATCTTAGAAGCAAGAGTCTTGCTGTGATATAATAGTTATTTTTTATACAAGACGATAAAATGGTATTTTATCGTATCCGGGAGACGATAATGCAATTTTATCGTCGTGTATAAAACAATATTTTTTTCCATAGCGAGTTACGTTTTAAAAAATATTCACAAATTATTATTTCAAGGAATTTATTAGAAAGAGGAAGTATTTATTAGAAAAAGGAGTAGAAAAAATATTGTGCTGGGTTGGCGTTGGTTTCTATGTAATTTGACAAATAAATAAAGCTGTCTCTTTAGTTGTCAGTTTTGAGTCAATATTTTTTAATTCTCTTTCGTGTCGATGGCTGATTGAATTGGAGCCAGTGGCTCAAAACTTTCCGACTAGTGCATAACATTTTAAAGAAAAAAAATGCTGATAATACGACGTAAACTTGCCATAATTAAGCAGCACCGAAACTTACAAAAGTGTTTCAATATTTCCACTTGTATATGGGCTAGCTCTCAGACTAAAAGTGTTTCGGTAGAACTGTGTAATTTTAAGCTACCTGGGGGTGAGTTACTTACGTAGTAATCAAAAGTGTGTCCAGTTCCTTTATATTCTTTTACTTCTTCATATTTTCTTCCACCGCCACCTCCACCTCCTCCAAAGGAGTAGTAGGAGTATCCAGCGCTGGCATAAACCACCAAACTTAACAAAACTATGATCTGAAAAGAATAATAACTAAATTAGTTAAACTAGTACCTTTACATTATATTCTCTGACTCAGGTTAATCTATTTCATTCTGTATAAATATTAATTAGAGTAGACAAGTTAGTAATAGTTAATATTATACAAGGAGAGTGTTGGATAAGTGTAACATTTTTAAGGGTTGTATATATTTTTTAAATGTTTAGTTGAAAAATATAATACCTTGATAATATGGGAACATAGGTAGTAGAATAAATTCATAAGAAAGAAAACACAGAAAAGATCCAGTGGTCTCTAAATTTAAGCAAAATATATATATTTTTTTAATTTTCAAAATAAAACAACTCGGTTATTTTGGACTTATTTGAGAAACGGTAAAGAGAAAATACGTTTCTTTTATCGAGATCTACCAGCCCTGAAGATATTTTCACTTATTTAAGACTCACCCTGTATAAACAGAGGTTTCAATACATGTTTGTCATCATGAAGAATTCAAACTTCTTGCTTTGTAAGTAACTGAAATATTCTTTCGAAACAGGAGCATTTAAAACACCCTGTATACTATATCCAGATATATTAAAACCATCTAAAAAACTAAATAGTACCATATAATAGAAAAAAACGGCGTCAGCGATGGCTATGATATAAAGATGTCATTTCGCTGTCATTTTTTATGTAAAATTATATGGGGAATGTCATCGATTGCCATTTCCAAGCCAACTGGGCACCGTTTTTTTCAACCATACGGGAATTTTTCTGCGAATAAATGATGATTAAACAGTTTCTGTTGAACTTTTGGCACAAAAATATTTCAAATTTATGATTTCAGTCTAATAACTATTTAGTCAACATATTTAATTTATGTCAATGATGACAGGTATAGATAATTTTGATTCCAAATATCTCGAGAACCATTACTCGTAGCGATTTTTACCAAGAGACGTTTTTTATGTAAAAAAAATCGTAAATGTATATTTTTTTACTCACTAGTTTAACAGTTACACAATGTGTGTCACAGTTATAAAATATGTAGGTTGCGGCCTCTACAAGTAGGAGTCTTATTGACATAAAATCAAATTTCTCATGTCAAAAAACTCCCAGACGCCAATTTTCATCGAAATATTGACGTTACTTCATAAATTATTTGGAAAAAATCGCGAAATAAAAATGAAACTTATACACCCTGTATGTCCGAAAGTAAGCATTTTAGGACATACATTTATAAGAGCTTTATTACTTATTTTAATCTGAGGAATATGCTGCCGAAGTTTCCGGAATACAGTTCGAACCACCCTGTATATTGGATACAAATGCAAAATTTGAACTTTTTAAAATTTATAATGTTGAAATGGGAAAGGTATAATCTTCTCCAGAATTTCGAAAAACGCAAAATCCCTTATAATCAAACAAATGAGTCTCTCATACCTTGAACATTTTGGTTTTGTTAAACTATATACCACTGACTCCACGAAACTACTGTATGAATACTACTTTTGGAACTGATATATCAACCATATTTTGACCAGCTTTATATATACATGACAAACAGAAACACTGTCACCAAATATACATAATAAAAATTAATATTGTTAATTTATTCGCACGAAATACGGCCGCACAGGCCCCAGTTATTAATAATAATTCGCGAAAAAATTCTCTTAATTTTGTTATTTAAATTTAATTCGAAAGGTAATGAATGTACGAAAATATTGTATGACTTAAAACTAAAGTAAGTCCAATAATTAACATAGAGAAAGAGAGTATGCAAATATATTGTATATTTTATGGTACTAATTTTAATTAAATAATAACAAAATCTGCTATAGAGATAAAATCAAGAAAGACAGAGTTATAAAGCATAATTTTAGATAAATTAAAACCTCTGTGTTCCGTTCTAAATGGGAGGTCGTGATATATCAAAAAATAGACTTAAAATCGTCTCTATTAAAGTAACAACTGTCAACAAATCATAATAATATGACTTTTCAATAACAATATTATACAATATTTACAAAACCATAAATACTATTTCTAAGGTAATAATAATAGCTCCCGTATATGCGTTTAACGCCTTAGGAGTAGCAAGGTACAGCTTGCCATACTAGAGCCGTTTGGTATACAAGAAAGATAATGTGGCTAGCATTACTGTTTGTATCTGAAACAATTTAAACTCCTTCAGAAAATCAATAAGGATTCGTGGAGTCCAAATCCGCAAGTGATGCTATTATAAAATTATCAGAATTGGCTTCAGAGGCACTTGATGCCTCCGAGGTTTCTTTGTGTGTTTTTGTAGATTTAGCAAAAGCTTTCGATATAGTTCACCATGAAATCCTGTTATATACACTTAGTAATATGGGTTTTAGAGGAAGGACCAACGATCTATTTAGAAGCTATCTAAATAACTGACAGCAAAGCGTGTCCATTCAGGGTGTTAAAAGCGAGAAAAGGGTGGTCAACTATGGTGTACCTCAGGGCACTGTACTGGGCCCTGTACTTTTTTGTATATACATTAATGAGTTACTAAACTTGAAACTCCAAGCACACATTTTGAGTTATGCTGATGATGCAGTAATTTTCTTCAGATCAACGTGTTGGAATCAATTGAAAGCAAAAGTAGAAAAATCAACGGAAATAATGTGCAATTTCTTTAATAATAATCTTCTTACTGTTAACTTTAAGAAAACTTTCTTGTTGCCTTTTGCCTGCTATTCAGATACTCTTCCAAAATTAGATATAACTTATAACAATAAGCTAGTGACAATAAGCTCAAGAAACAAATTTAAGTATCTTGGAGAAATATTTGATAACCACATGAAATGGAATTATCATATTCAGTTTGCGACTAAAAAGTTAAGATCAATTATTGTAATATTTAAGTTTTTAAAAGGTATAATTCCTATAGAATTACTAAGAAATGTGTATTTTGCTTTAGCTCAGATCCATTTATAATACGGTATTGTGGCTTGGGGCTCAGCAAGCAAAAATCAATTATCAAGTGTAAATATATTTAGTTCAGAAATGGTTGCTGAAAATAATATACTAAACAATTATTTTGGTTTAATACATTATATATAACATTCAGCAATAGAAGAAAAAATAATCTAATCCCACTTTCATACTCACTACGTCGACGCGAATTAACTATTAATGTACCTCGGATGCATAAAATTATCGGACAAAAAAGTCATTTATATGTAGGACTTAAATATTTAATGTTTTACCTAAAGAAATTGTTAATTGTCAAAACATTAATATTTTTAAAAAAGATTAAAAGAATGGATACTTGTTAGAACAATAACCGAAATGCATACATTTATACTCAGCAAAATGTGAAATATTAAAAACCATTCACAAAAATATAATATTTGAAAAAAAAAATTTAATCTTATATGCCTTAGAACTTGCAATCTACCCTATGTCAATATCTGACCGCTGTGTATTAACTTGTTTTTTAGCGTGCTTAAGTATTGGACAATGAAATAAATTAATTTGATCCATTTAGATATAGTTTAAGAATTTAGAATAAAATATTGTAGTTATTATTGTAGAAATGAAACTCCTCAGACAAGGTTCTACCTTAAGAGGATATTATGTTTATTCACTATTTTTTATTCGTAAGTTTTGTATGTAGAATGTTTAGGAGGGGAGTTAATCACCGCGACCTTATAGATCTATTGTGTGTTCCCCTTTCTTGAGTTATAACGAGTTATAACCCATCATACAGTCTCAGGGCTTTAACAAAAGCCAGTATCTGAGACGGCTCCACAGAAGCCAGCTCTCCATCCTCGACATCAGACGTACCAAGGTTCATGGCACGAATGGTCGTCGTCTCGGCGCACTCGGTGATAAGATGTTCTGGTGTTTCCCCATTTTCCCCACAAAATCTGCATTCGCCGTTTTTTCTCAGTTTCAGCCTACTGAGGTGTTCGTTGAGGAGACAGTGTCCTGTTAGAAACCCCGTGATAATCCGAAGATTGTTTCTACTTAAATCAAGGAAAACCTTTGATTTTTCTCGGTCATAAGTTCTGAGGAACTTTTTCGAGTGTCTTAGACCGTTGGAGGACACACATTCCAAGTTACGGATGGAGTCTTCCAGATTCTACAGTTCCGCTTTCAGTTGGTTCCCGTTTGGAAAACAGAACGGTTCTGGTCCAGTTAGTGGAGTATTCGCTCCTTTTCTAGCTAGATCATTTGCTTTTTCATTGCCTTCTATCCCTAGGTGAGCAGACACCCAGAGTAGGAGGACTTTATTTTCTTTGCCTAATTTGTTGAGCTTCTCTAGGCATTCTTTGACCAACTTCGAATTGATGGTTACTATCGGATAGGATGGCAATTTCCTGTTTTCGATATTCTATCTAAGATAAATTGTACGCATCTTTCGATAGCGCAAATTTCTGCCTGAAGGATATTGGGGTAGGTGCCCATTGGTTCGGAGTATTCAGTTTTTGGCCCAAATACTCCCTGTCCCTGCTTTGGTTTTGGAAGCATCAGTATACCACGTGATGGTATGGTCTTTTATATGCTGAGTAAGCGTTTCTTTCTTCCAATCCTTTTTATTACTCAATACTACAGTCAGGTGTTTCTCAAAGTTGTAAATTCTTGGTATGTCATCCACTGGGGGTTGGAGAAGTGGAATTTTCTTTTTGAGGGTGTTCCAAGCCCCTGACCTGAAAATTCTCCCAGTACTGTTTCCGTCAGTGACCATTCTAATCATTGTCGCATTGGCATAACTACCGACGACAATATGCAGTGGTGTTAGGTCTAGAATGACCTCCATTGCTGCTGTTGGACATGTTCTCATGGCACCTGTGATGCTCTGATGAGACTGGCACATGCCAGTCTCTGTACTTTGCACAGGTTTTGCCTTGCTGTACGTTGCTCTAGTTTTGTATACCAAGCAACTGCTCCATAAGTAATCATGGGTCTTACTATTATGGTATACATCCTGCGCAAAATGTTAGGGGCGCAGCCCCACCTATTTCCCGCCAGTCTTCTGCATATCATGAGAGCCTTTGTGGCTTTGCTGGTAATGTTCTAAATATGCCTATTCCAGAGAAGTTTACTATCCAGGGTTATTCCCAGATATTTCACTTCATGTGATGGCAATTCTTTTCAAGTTTTTCAAACTTCGCTTTCTGGTGAATGGTACTACTGCGGTTTTATCTGAGTTAATACTCAGCCCGACAGTCCTGCGCCATCTCTCAGCGATGCGGAGTCCTCTTTGGATAATATCACACAGGCTGCCTTCAGTTATGTATAAATCTTGTATATACTTTGTAATTGGATCAGTTTGAATAAACATTATTTATTATTATTATTTTATTACGCTTCAACCGCCTATTATTACCTCAGGATTGTGAATCCCAAGTACTCATTTAAGGCTGAGTCGACCTAGGTACCCAAACTATTTTTTATTTTAATAATACCAGAAATACTACAGAAATCAACAGAAGAATTAAGTTAGCATGGAGTACTTATGGAAGAAACTCAATCATATTCAAATCTATAATGTCACTTTATCTAAAGAAGAAAACATTTGACCAATGTGTACTACTGGTAATGACCTATGCATGCGAAACCTGAAGGTCACTGAGGTTGCACAACGCTCAATGGAGCGAAATATGCTGCAAATAACCAAGAAAGACCGTAAAATAATAGAATCGATACGACAAAAAAAACATGTAATAGATGTCATCCACAGAATCAAATCCCTCATTTGGTAATGGGCAGGACATCTGGCAAGAAAGACGGATAACAGATTGACCACAAAAATTAGAGTATGGTACACACAAGGAATTAAGAGACCTAGAAGAAGACCGAACCTAATGTTGCGGACCGGTGTGGACTCGACCTAACCTAACAATATGGCCCGTCCTCGGATGACCTTAACATCGCATAGACACCGTAATGATTCATTCGAAGATTCGAGAAGTATCGAGTTCTACTGGAATGGAGTAGTACATACGAGAACAATCGAAACCTTCTCTATGCACCTAACGATCTATGGACTATTCTAGAGACCTTTAGCTGTAGGTATAAATGTCGGCGGCTGTGGCCTAAAGAGGGCAGTTATAAATCGACGAGTGCAGTTGACGCGCTAAAATTCAAAATAAATTCTTAGTTATAAATCGTTTGTAAATAGTTCTATAAGTCTTTTAAAGTTATTGTTTTTGTTAATTAGTGTTAAATAAATAGTGTTTAAATAAATTGTAACTTTTTATCCACACGGAACCGACGAAAAACGTAACACTAAGATGGGACCTTGATATTAGGAAATTAGCAGGGATAACTTGGGCCCACATAGTCAACTATAGACAACAATCAATAGGCCCAACTATAAAGAGAGTACCTAAATATGTGAGGGAGGCTACACCACAATTGGAAATGGTTGAATAAGCTGAGAATGATGATGATGATGATGCATTAAGAAAAAAAGTACAGTAAAGAAGCAATATTATATTATCAAAAATTATAACTGACGAAGAAC